TCCTAAAAACCTCTTTACTGGGTGGCAAAAAAAGGTCATAATCTGACATAYATTCTACAGATATCTTTTGGGGCTGGGGATATAGCTGTCGRTAGAGGTGCKTGCCTCAAATGCACAAAGCCATGGGTTCAATCCCAGCACCACACATACACACACAAAAATCCCTTTTGTTTATTTGCAGTTATAAGGACTGAACACAAGGGCATTCTACCATTGAGTTACATCCCCAGACCTTTTTAATTTTTTTGAAGAGCTGAGAATCAAACCCAGGGCCTCATACATGCCAGGTAAATGCTCTACCACTAAATAAATCACGCCATTAGCCCAACTTTTTTATTTTTTAGAGATAGGGTCTAAGTTGCCAAGGGTGGCCTCAAACTTTTGAACCTCCTGTCTCAGCATCTTGAGTGACTGGGATTACAGGCATGAGCCACTACACCCAGCCTAAAAAGATCCCTTTGATTGCCTTAAGATATAAGTGTGTGATGGCAGGGCCTGGGACTGTATTTTAAGTCAAGCTCAGCCTTGACAAGGCTCAAATCAGACCCCAGCCAAATCCTTTGATTGAGTCAGCATGAGGATCYTGGTCTCCAGACCCCACATCCCTCATGAGCAAGAGACACCTCACATCAGCTTTCTCTTGTCCCAACTCTGAAGCAATTTATGTGTGGTCAGTTTCATTGGTCCTGCCTCCTCACTGTGCAACAAACATTTTAACAGTGCAGAAGGGGTCACAAAGCACTACAGACACAAACCAGACTTAAAAAAAAACATGTAGTGCAAGGCTTGTTGAGATTCACAGCAGGCTTTTCCAGTGTTTCTCCAGCCACGAGCCACAGGCTCAGGATTTCCTGTCTTCTCAGGCATTTGTTGAAGCCAAGACCAGCTTCCCCTGGAGGAAGGGATGGGGCTTTGCATTTTTGCCTTTCATCTGTCCCTTTAGGATTCTTTCATGTATTTTTCCTCCTACTCCTGCCACTTTTTCTTCTTCAGATACATGTCTGGCCACTGGTCTCCAACACAACCAAATCATGGGATCATGATAAAATCAACAAATCCAAGAAACACCAGGGCACCAGGAATTGCAGCCGGGCGAGCCGGTAGCTTGAAGTTTCCACCCTCCTGCAAAACGTTCAACTTCACAGAAACCTCCCTGACCTCAGCAGGGTGGGACTAGAAGGAGCTGAGACTTACAATAGGATGAATTGTCCTCTTCTGTGGTTTTGCAATGTGGAGAGGAAATGGCAAACAAGTTGGGCATGGTAGCACACACCAGTAATCCCAACTAATGAGGCTGAAGCAGAACAATCTCAAGTTTGAAGCCAGCCTCAGTATGCCCTAACCATAGTGAGGTCTAGGGATGTAGTTCAGTGGTTAAGCACCCCCAGGTTCAATCCCCAATACAACTACTACTGTTACAATTAAAAATATTGCCAGTAAACAGTTTAAGGAACATAAGTAGCTGGCTAACCTTCCAGTTTCCTTGAAGCAAGCTCAGTGGAAACTCCACACTCGAAGCCCTCCAAACTCTCCCCTTTGACTAATGCTAAAAATTCCCCAATAATCACTTTGTTTCATTAGTGCAACAGTTGAATTATTGCAACTAAAAGGTGACGATCCAGAACAAAAGTGGCTGTGGGGTGGGATTATAGGTTCTTTTCATGCTTTGACTATTACAGCCCTCATGCTTTTAATTCCTTAAAAGGATTCTTATAAAGCATGCATTAGAAAACAAAATCCCAGTAAAAATCAAATACTCCAAAAACAGCTTTGTAAGTCATTCAGAACTTCCAGCTAACAAGGTTTTTGAAGAAGGGGAGGGGGGGTTGCTGAAAGGAGGGAAGAGTCTGGTTGGACTGTGGAAAGGACCAAGATTCTCTTATTCATCTGCAGGGAAATCTGCCCTTTTAATGGGAAACTAGCAGTGGAAGGACAAAGATACACAAGTAGTTTCAAGTCTCTGGAAGTTTTATTCCTTAAGTCTGAATGAGGCCTAGCCCATAAAGAAGAGGGACTGCAGATGTAATTCAGTGGTAGTGCACTAGCATGCACATAGTCCTAATCACTAGCACCACTAAGCAAAACAGCCAGGCATGGTGGTGCACACTTGTAATCCCAGCAGCTCAGGGGGCTGAGACAAAAGTATCTCAAGTCCAAGGCCAGCCCTAGAAACTTGGCAAAACCCTGTCACAGAATCAGTGGTTAAACAYCCCTGGGTTCAATTCCTAGTACCTGCCTCCCACCCAAAAAAAAGATTCAAGCCAACCAAACCTCCAATAAATAATCATTTGGGGAGTGCCATCTTAGCAGAGGACCCATGTGTTAGGGGGTAGGTGAATAGGAGAGTGCCTCCCTGTACCTTATAGTTCCAGCTGTCTAAAGTTCCACTGTACAAGGTCTTTGTACAGCTGTGGTCCTCTGCTTCCTTTTCAGGCACTTGACATGGCCAGGCTTTGAGCTCCTGTTAACCCTCACTAACTACTAAACAGGCTAGGTTCTCTTCCTGGAACAGAAAGGCTTCAGCCAGGGAGGTTTTCACGGGTCACTAAGAACCCGATGCCCAGAAGTCTGGGCAGACACAATCCACAATTACTAGAGATCCCAGGTAGCAGGACACTCCTYTTCCTGGTACAATCAGCATCTGAGCAACAGGACACTGATCTGAGGAACTCTGCAGGAATGCTGGGTTCCCTCAGTTGCACCAAGGAGGGCCCACCTGCACCACCAGCCCTGGGCCTATGACTGAGYTGGGTCTGGTCTGCCACCTACAGGTAAAATATTGGTGGTGCAAGATGCTTACTTCACCTGAAAAGACCTTCAAAGTGGAAATACCCSCTTTAGAGATGAGCCCAAGCATTACCTCAAATGAACTTCCAAAAACATTGAGCAAGGCAAATATGGAAAAAACATGAAGAGAAATGTGAAACAAGTATAGATRGAGAGGTGAGCTGCCTATTGCTTGCAGTGTTACCCCATACAGCATGGATCTCAATTTGTCTACAAAGTTTAGACAAATGTTTTTTCTCTTGATCATCTTTAGGAATAATGTATAATCTGAATTTGGGGTCTGTATGTTCAGTGTGACCAAAGCAGATGAGATCCTTAGTACTAGACTTCCTTAGGTGGCCTATCTYCCAAACTATTCCCCATTCATTCCATTCCTTGCTTTTAGAATCCTTCTCGAAGGGTTCCATAAAAACTGTGCATACAACCAGTAAAYGAGATTTCCTGAGGGATGACTAGCTAAATTTTTCAAGACAACCCTTAATCTAAAAGCACTCTAGCCAGGTGGCGTGGTGCACACTTATAATCAGGAGGCTTAGGCAGGAAAATCCTGAGTTCAAAGCCAGCCTCAGCAAATTAGTGAGGCCTAGTCTCTAAATAAAATACAAAACAGGATGGGGATGTGGCTCAGTGGTTAAGTGCCCTGGGTTCAATACCCAGTACCAAAACCAAATTTTTTTAAAAAGCACTTTAAAAAGATACACCAAAAGCTTTGAATCATCTTTACTCTTCCCATTTCCCATAAGGAGTAATTCTACCAATTTCCCATAAGAAGCTTCCCACATTGAATTACCCCTGCTGAAGCTGTGCAGAACCTGCTTGCCCAGATCTCAGCTCCAGCATTCCTGTATCTGACCCCAAAGGATAYGATACAGTCTGCATCTAGTCCCAGCCTTGCCTTCACCGGTGACCTCTCCTGCCAATTCACTTACTTCCATAAGGACACTATTATTACAGCCTAATTCACTGCATATAATATTAACTGTAAGCTGACATGGGTAGAAGAAAAAGGACTATATATAAACACCCCCGACCCACTGGGGCTCTCATTCATCACCATCAAATTTGGGAAGTGTGAAGGAACATTATAGCAGCATGAAAGGTACACACATCCAGAATTGTGAAACAAAGGCTGATTTAGAGACTAATGGTAGTTAAGGTAACTTGAGGGGCACCTAGTCTAAAATGCCAACTCCAGCTTGCACAAAATTCAGCTGGTTCACATGGGGAGGCTGCTTAAACCACTGGGAATGTGGCAGAGCCAGAGCCCATATCCCACTATCTTTTTTTATCAAGTTTTATTTCATATTTGAATAACACAATTATTGTATAATCCCACTATCTTATAACCAGCAAAATATCCAGTCTGAAGAAGTATAAGACCCCAAGCCCAGTAACCAGAGAGCTCAGTAAACCAGGTCTGATCACAAGGGTACTCAGCAGCTATGGTCAAGGTCTGAGTACTAGCTCTGTACTGTCTGTCACCCATCCAAATACAGGACCTTGTGGCTATGCTACTATGAACACTAATGGGAATGACAGGGAAGGAGAAAYGTAGATAGGAGCTAGACTGGAGAAGTAACAGCTGAGCTTAAATTCATCCATTACATGAATCACACTTCCCAAATAAATACCAGAGGCAGTAGAGGACAGTGTGGCCAGCACATAAAGACAGTCACCTGTACCTAGCTGGGAAGGCAAGACATCAACACCTGCTAAAATAGAAAAGTGCTCCCTGTGATATTCAAATGATCAGCTAAGTAACCCTTGTAGCAGCTACTGATTACACTATAATAGATACTAAAGATGCTGGGTAATAAGATTTTACCTAATGTCAAAGTATCTTATTACAAAGGTAAAAATTAAGCTTTACAGTAAAGAAAACCTGACAGACACAACAACCTTGGGTACTTTGGAGTCATTGCCAAAAAAGATGACATAAACCCAAAGACACAAGTGTCACATATGCCCCTGTCAAAAATACAAACCTGAATAAAAACAGGAACAAACAGACCAGGATTAAGAGACCTCCTAAACAACTGGCCTAAAGTCCTCAAAAATTAAGATTAGATAGAAGGACGGACCGCCTCAAWAACTCAGTGAGACCCTGTCTCTAAATACAAAATAGGGCTGGAGATGGCTCAGTGGTCAACTAGACAAGGCTTAGCTTAGCTGCAAACGCATTTCATCTTTTCACAGAAAAACTCCATAAGTAGTATGATTTATTATTTTATTGCATACTTTATAAAAAAACAAAGGCCCAAACACACATTCCCCCAACATCAGGGAAAGAGCTTACATCCTTTCTTGTGTAGCTGTCTTTAAAGCAGGCCATACTGTTTATTTCTATATATACCCCTACATACTTCTCTCCCCTCAAATACTTCTCTCCCCTCAAATATTTATATCCCAACTATAAAAATGGAGCTGCAAAGGGTTTTTAAAAAGATAAATGAGATCTTTTTTTGCCCTTGTTATTATACAAACACTTTAGGCGACTCAAAAACATGAAAGTAACAAGGAAAAAAAAAAACCCTAATGAAGGAATGGAATGTCTGTTAGCTGTAACAAGTAGCTATTATCATTTGTTGAACTGGCACCTTCCTGACAGATCAGTCTGTAGGGACATGGGCACATGAATYGGGATGACAGACATGAGCCTGGTGATTGCTTCTACATATTTCCAGAAGGCACATGTCTTCCACACCCTTTCTTAAGTAACTGAAGACAAACTACAGGAGAATCCAGTATTTAGATTCTGCCCACTCTGAGGTATTAAATGCATAAGGAAAAGATTAGTTATATCCAAGCTGCATGCAATAAAAATATTTTTAAACCAACATGGTTAAGTGTTAAGATTTTTAGAAATCAAAATATTTATTCACATAATTTTAAACTAAAGTCAAAGCTAATCATATTCTATGGTAATGATTTAAGTGCAAGTGATGCAGTTTTCACATTTGTTTCCTTCAGAGAAAAGGCAGATAGATCAGTTGTTCTTGAATAAGTCAATGCAGCTCTGCAAGAGGGAGACATTGTTCTGGGGAAAAAAACAAAACACAAGTAACATCAAAGTCAAAGTAGACCAAAAAATCATTCTAGAATCTAAGAATTGTTATATAATCAAGAATGAAGCATAAATTCAACTGACATAGCATGTCCATAGAGATCTAAAACTAGCCCAAGTGGGTTGGCATTTTTCTCCTCTAAATCCCAATTAAAGTGCACAAACTACTCACCACCCATTTCATGTGGAGTTTCTCTCCCTTAAGAGAGTCTGTCTGGGACTACTGGTCACTACTCTAGCATCTCCCACCCTATCTGCTCCCAAATGCAACCATGCCTGTTCTGATTTACAAGGCCTTAAAAAGACCAGATAAAGAGTTGCTTAAAAATTAGTCATTGATGCCAGGCACAGTGACGCACACCTATAATCCCAGTGGCTAGGGAGGCTGAGGTAAGAGGATCACCTCAAAAACTGTCCCTAAATAAAAGACCCTGTCTCTAAATAAAAAGTCATTGGCAAGATTAAAAATTGCTTTGCGAAGTTCTCACCTCAAAGACATTAGAGAGCTGTGATCAGTGCCCACACTTGTAATCCCAGTGACACAGGAGGCTGAGGTAGGAGGCTTGCAAGTTCAAAGCCAGCCTCAGTAACTTAGCCAGACCCTGTCTCAAAAAGGACTGGAGATGTAGCTCAGTGGTAGAGTATCACTGGGTTCAATATCTAGTACCACCTCAAAAACAACTTAAAAAAAAAAGTGCCCAGAACATGGCTGATTTATGCAAAATTATGCTTTAAATTCCAATGAAAAGTCATAAACAGAAAGCTGTACCCAATTAAGAAAAAAAATGAGGACTGGGAATGTGGCTCAGTGGTTGGATAAAAAGCACAAACTGAAGGCCAGTGACAGTTCCTTCCAAGGGAGGAATCCCTGTTATGGTCCTTAAGGTTGACAGGCTGACCTCGTCCATAGCAGTCTGAAGCCAAGTCCTTGAATGGCCAAAGGAGATACCCTCAGGTACCAAAAACTCTCAAAAGACCCCATTAGATCTAACATGTTCCCAGCATTGAGAACAGTGTCCTCTCGTTTCTGTGCTAAGCTACAGATATATGCAACAGAAGATTGTCTTCCTTTCTAAACCAAGAAAGTGTACTGAAAGAAGCTTGGCAAACAAAAAGTTGTTTCTACTGAAAGCCAATGAAATCCAAGATACTAAAGAGTTTACTGCTAAATTAMTAGAGCAGGCGTGTCAGTATGGCTCACAAGCCCTGTGAGGGGGAACCAAGGGAGCCATAACCAAGAATGCTATTCTCAAAACCGTTTCAAGGCCAGGCACTGTGGCACATGCCTATAACCCTAGCAGCCTGGGAGACTGAGGCAGGGGGAATCACAAATTCAAAGCCAGCCTCAGCAAAAGCTAGGTGCTAAGCAACTCAGTAAGACCCTGTCTCTAAATTTAAAAAAAAAAGGGGGTGGGGGGTGGCTTAGTGGCCCRAGTTCAATYCCTAGTACCCCCCCCACACCAGTTAAACTGCTTCGAGATATTGATTTCTGATTTGCAGTAACAAAAATATTCTGATGGGTGGTTCCCATTTACTAAGTACCACATGGAATTAAAACCACACGGCAAACCCTATCTGCCTGAGGACACTGGGGCAACGAACAGGGAAAGAGAGGTGGAACCTAAAATGTTATTGGTTTAATTTGAAAACACTTACTCTGGCATGCTTTATTTCCAGTTCAGACATCTCAATTAGGTTTTTTCTAAACGCTGCCACTCTCTTCCGTTTGAAATTTATAAGTTCTACAGGAAAAAAGAGTTAAAGTTTATCAAACCAAGAGTTAARTTTTCATATTCACATAGCTTCCAAATATCATTATAATCAAACCACCATTATTTCCTCCTTCTTAAGCACTCTGACTGGGACATACACTAATTGTCTTCTGGTTACTGTGATCCTAAGCAGGCCACACACTACTCAAATCACCAAGCACCACTGAAGAACTTGTGAGGAACTGCCTCACTCTTGCCCTCAAGATAGTGGGGAGAAGTGAGTCAGGAGGATCCCAAGGTGAAAATTCTTCTCAAAATACAACAGTCAAAAGCGTCTTGAACTCTACTAACAATAGCCAAGACATGGAATCAACCGGTGTCCATCAATGGACAAGAAATAAATTTTTTWAAAAAATGAATTACAGACACAWTTGAGTATTATTCAGCCTTAAAAAAATAAATAAAGCAAAATTCTAAACCGGTGGAGTACACCTGAAATCTTAGAGACTCAGAAGACTGACGCAGGAAGATTTCAAGTTAGATGACAGCCTGGGAAACTCACCAAAATCCTGTTTCAAATAAAAGATAACAGGGTAGTATAGTGGTAGAGCATTTCTGGGTTCAATCCCCAGTTTAAAAATCAAACAAACAACAACAAAAATAGAATCTATTTTTAAAGAAATAGGGCAGTAAAAAGATACTTTGAAACAATCCAACACAGTCAGCAACATAAATATTTGCATGCAATTGCCAACTTGCAATAGAAAGCTCTTTGCCATACAGTTAAAGCATTAGAAGCAAAGCACAGACATGAAGCAAAGCAAGATATTATACTCTACAAAAAGTCCCATGACAGATATGCTTTAAAATGAGATAGGAATGGGCATGGTGGCATGTGTCTGTAATCCCAGAAACTTAGGAGGCTGAGGCACGAGGATCCCAAGTTTAAAGCCAGTCTCAGCAATTTATTAAGGCCCCAAGCAAGGCCCTGTCTCAAAAATAAAATGAAAAAGGTTTGGGAATGTGGCAGCTCAGTGGTTAAGACCCCCTGGGTTCAATCCCAGGATTAAAAAAAAAAAAAAACAAAAAAACCTGTTCTGGAATGGGGTAAAGGCAAGAAAGAATATAGTGGACACAGACTCGAATCGAGTCATCAGGATAGACTCATGATCCCTCAAACTTGTCTAGTGTGCAATCACATGTATTCACTTACATCTCCCAATTCTGTCTCCTAAAGGGCCTAGATGCAAAGACACCCCCAAACAACAAGTGCCCCAGCACACCCAGATCTTGGCTACTATTACCTAAGAAAAAGAACCTCGGCTCCTTGAAAAATGGTCAAATCTAGGGTTGGAGTTGAAAGTCTACAGATTACATAGAACAATTAACTGCTTAAAAAAAAAAGTGTGTGTAATGTGTCACAAAGACATACTAGTTTCAAGATGTTCCCATTGGAAAAGTTTGGACACTCTGAGCACCAAAATAATTAAGGACAGTAACAAAAGAAAAGGAAGGGCTGGGGATGTAGCACAGTGGTAGAGGGCCTGGTTAGCATGCTCAAGAGCCTAAATTCAATCCCCAGCATCCCAAAAAGAATTAAGATGATATTTTAAAAGGGGTGGAGGGGCAGGGCTCTTGTTTGTAGTATGAAGGCAACTGCTAACCTGCAGATGAAATGCTAGAATTGAGGGAGGAGGCATCATCTAATTGCAACCATCAGAATAAATGCTGGTTAGGAAAGAATCATACACACTTAGCCCAGGGAAGTTTAGTGAAAAGCAGAACATGTATGTGATCTTCAGTTATCTCCCCTATAGATAGGTGATGGGGAATACTAAGTGCAGTGGAGAAAGTGGACACTTGACTAAGTAACCAAAATGAACACCACAACTGGAAAGAAGATGCACACAAACATTATAATCTATTTGTAAAAATCTTTTTACAAAGAGATATTTACAAAATATTTAAAAGATAAATATTGCAAACAACAACAAAAACTAAATAACCAAAAACTTCCTAATAAAGGAGACTAAGGAAACTCAACAAAGTTTTTAGGATATTCATATGGACTAGGAACACCAGACATCCATGTTTACACCATGTGAAGGCAAGTGTTAGTGTCCAAGTGATAAAAGATATGTGGGACATGTGGGTATTATTGCACTTTTGAAAAACTTTTCCTCTCTGTAACCTTTTCCAAATAAAACGAAAATAAGTAAAGAATGTTCCTACTCAACCTTCTTTTGCAGATTCAGAAAGCTGTTCAAATTTCTGGCAACATTCCTGTTGGTGTGCCTCAGCCAACTTGACATCTTTGCTTTTTAACCGGGCCTTATCCAGAGCTTTGTTTGAGTTCTCATAGTCAATGAGGGCTTTGGTGCGTCTGTATAAGAGATCCTGAGAAGAAAATTAACARAACATAAAAATCTCCAGAGAACAAAACAGGAATACCAAATAGCTTACACAATCTAGAATCTAATCTACCTTTATGCTTATATCTACCCTCATAAGATTAGCACGGATATGCCACTCATATTTGAGGGCTTTCCCTGAATTCTTTATGTGTAAGGTTAAAACAGAACAAAACTCAACAGTGGGGCATGGTGATGCATGCCTAAATCCCAGCAACTCAGCAGGGAAAGAATCCCAGTATCCTGGTCAACCAARACAATTCAGCAATATTTTGTTCCAAATTTAAAAGGGTAGAGGAATGTTTTTCACTGGTAGAGAGCCCCTGGATTCAATCTCCAGTACCTGGGGCGGGGGTGGCGGGATGATCCAACAGTAAAAATAAGGATTATTTTCTAGTTGATTCAWTAATTGAAAGCAATTAACAAAATTAAATGTTGTGTACTAAAATACATGCACAGTTGGTTGTGGTGGCACATGCCTAATTCCAATACTTGGGAGGTTGAGGCAGGAGGATCACAGGATTGAGGCCAGCCTCAGCAACTTAGTGAAATCCAGTCTCAAAAGAAAATAAAATTAGAACACTTGACTAGCAAAACATGAGGCACTTGGGTTCTACCTCTAGTATCACAAAACAAATAGCAGAAAAATCTAATAATGACAACAACAAATCACATGTTACTGCTGGTGAGTCAGCAGAATACTGCAAGAATACAACTAAGCAACAAAGCAGCCTGGACCACACATAACCCTACACTGCAAATCCTGCTTCTGGAAATATATACTAGGGACTAACCTAATTTGAAATAATGATTCTTTGCAATCTTATAGCAAAGTAGAAGTCACCTCAACACCAAAAACTATTGAAGCTCAGTGAAACTACTATACCCAGTTTTGTAAGTTAGCTCTTAATTCCATGAAAATCTATAAAGCATTAAAAATGTCCAAATATAAGAATAAGAAAAGGTATGCTCAGGTCAAGAGATTGGAGTTTATTCTGCACACTACTTATGGATCCAATACCAAAAAAGGGCACATCACTTAACAAAGAAGTCTGATAAAATTCCTATCTCCCTCCTAATATAAAGCAACTTTCCTTTTTACCAAAAAAAGGAATAGCTCTAGCATTAGGTTTCTGGTCACAACAGGTGGTCTAGCACTGTGTTGGGTTTCCCGGTTCCTCATCTTACCTTTGCAGCCTCTATATTAAGCATGTAGTATCGAAGAAGCTCTGTCAGCTTTAAATCTTCATCTGATGAGACACGACCCTCCACTTTCTATTTAAAAAAATAAAGGTCACTATCAAAGCAGTTATGTACAGATTACAAAATATATATTTTATTAAGACAGAAACAAAAATTCTTACCCTAAGTTTTTCAAACAGTTCAGCAACCTTCAATAGGTATCTGAAAATAAACAGTTGTGGTTTAAGGTATTAAATAAATGATCTTATCAAAACTCAAGACATGAATGAGTACAATGTGCTTTGATTTTTAAAAGTAGTGTTTTCCTTCCAAATGACTATAAAACTGAGCACATTTCCAGTGCCACAGCCTACTGGCATTAGCCTCTCTTCCTTGCCCTTCAGTCACCTTGTCTTGTGTCCAGGATGCTGTTATCAAAGACCTATCCTATGTTCAAAGAAGGTCAGATTCTAATGAGCTTCCCCCAAGGGCATCATAAAGCAAAAATATGCTACCATCTCATCTTGGTTCTACTATTAGCATGACTTTCAACTTCAAGTTAGAGGTTGTATCACCTATTATACCAAGTAGAGATGTGTTAGGTTAAAGTCTTATACTCAAAATGCCCAGTACAGAGAAAGAGTGGAAAGCAAATGTAAAAGTCCAAGATCAGGATAGAGTCATTGAATTGTTCCCCAAAYCAGCAAGAGCCAGGTGTGGTAGTGCTCGCCTATAATCCCAGCAACTGAAAAGAGGATGAGGCAGGAGGAATAATAAGTCTGAGACCAGTCCCAGCAACTTAGACGCCCCAAGCAACTTTATAAAAACCTGTCTGAAAAAATTTTTTAAAAGGCGGAGGGGGTGGGGGTGGGGGAACGAAGATATACTGCTGGCGTTATAACTCAGTGGTAAAGTATCCCTGTTCAAACTACAGTGCAAAAGAAACAAACACCCCAACAACAACAAAAAGAAATCTCTTCAAGAAAGACCAGATAGAACGGCAAGAACCAATTAACAAAGAAAACCAAGGCAAACTTCTCTCAAAGACAACCACAAAATTAAAATGAACAAAAAAGAAGTCATTTGGGCTGGGGTTGTGGCTCAGGAGTAGAGTGCTTGCCTAGGATGCACGAGATCCTGGGTTCATCCTCAGCACACACAAAAATAAATAAAGGTATTGTGTCCAACTAAACTAAAAAAAAATTTTTTTAAAAGAAGTCATTTAATGTGACAGAAATAAAGGCTCTACACCATATCTATTCAGCTGCATACAGAAGAATCCAAAGTCTACTATGATTCTCTTACTAGTGCCTTCCAAACACTTGAGTGCTGAACAGTGTGGTGTTCTTGATAAGCTTGTGTTCCAGGGAAGAACTGCCTCTGACAGTACTCTTTATTCTTTAATTATATCACTCAGTAGTCTTCAATCAGGAAGTCAGGGAAATGTTTTCACAACAATAGCTTACTTTTTGATAACTGTGGGTTCTTCTAAAGCCAGGCTCTGCAAGGAGGCCGCGGTGTGAATATAGTCATCAGCAACATTTTTGTGAGATCTGGTCATTCTGTCAGCTTTAGCACAGGAATCCTTGATCCTGTTGTAATAGTTAATAAGGAAGTTCTTCTCTTGCTCAAAGAAGTCATCTACCTCCTAAAAGGAGATAAGAAAAAAAAAAAGAACTTTAGCATAAATTACAAGAATGTATTTTGTGACAAATTTCTAAGTAAAAAGTTTAACCTCCACAGATAAGAGGATTGCAAACTTAAAACACAGTGATAATACCCAGGACTAGCAATAATCAAGAAAATGTCAGAGAATCATTTTGAAGAACAATCTCTGGTAACCCAAGACTCAATGTTTTTATTACTATTGCAGCAGTTCTGCCAAGTCAGGTACTGCCACCCAGACTTGAATACTAGAATATGCATGTGGTTATTTTTTATTTAAATTTAGATGGCTTCAGTTTGAGAGGCCATACTGGTACACCTGATAGACACTGGCCAAAGATGCTAAATATCATTCAATGAATTGATAGGACAGTCCACACATCTCAGCACTGTGCCAAAGAGTTTCCAAATTTATGAAACTACCCTCTCTACTATACACCTATACTGTTTCCCACTTAAGCCTTACCCTGGAAAGACAAAGTCAGATTCTGGTAGTAAATATTAAAGTATCTCAGTTTAAAAGGAGGGGAATGGCCTGAAGAGTAAAGAAATTTGAAATCACATCTATGAGGGTAATCAAAGACTTGTGCTTTAATTCTTATTTTCTAGAACAGCACTACCCAAAAGGAATTTCTGATGCTAACTTCTCTACTCGTATTCCRGGAAGAGTAAAATTAATTTGAATATTATACTTAACCGCATAACTAATGTAAAACAGTAGTAAGACATTTTATATTTTTTTCTTTGTAGTAAATTCTTAAATCCAGTATGTAAATCAAACAAAATCTATTTTTTTTTCACCATGCCTACTATGCTACATGTCAAGTGCTCACCTGCCACCTGTGGCTGGCGGCCACCATACTGGAGAAAGGCATGAAATACTGATCTTCTAGCTTATTTTCTTTTTAAAATTGAGTAACCTCTGTCCTTACAAAAGGAGAAAATACTCAAGTGTGGAAAGGTTCACGTCACTTCTCCTGAGAGAGAACAAGGTGTTTTGGAGAAATAAGCAAAAACTGAATTAAGTAAATGAAAATAGCCCAYTCCTTAAAATTAGTACATTGTGGTATTATCTCATCCAAATAGATGATCTATTCCTATAAAGTTATGAATTTTCTTAAAAAGCTCAAGTCCCTTACCTTAACTCCAGAAAAAAGAACTTCATCAGCACTTTTCACCACACTTTTAAAGAAGCCACCAAACATTTCTTTGGTATTTTTCCGCCTAACACTTAGCTAAAAGAAAATTCCAAAACAGTTTGTTACATATTTTTTCTAGGCTCTCAAATTAATAATAACATTCCAAACAATACTAATATAGAAACATAGATATCTTTAGTTCTGCTTTACCAACTAAACTGAAAAACATAATAAATGGATAATATTAAATGTAAGTCATCTCTTTCTAAAAGGATCACATATGTAGGAACCAAGTCTTTGAGGATTTTCAGTCCTTGGCAGAATTACATTCTTTTCAATCTACATTGATTAGGCTTTAAGCTTCAGAACTCTAAATCAGGGCTTGTTTCATCAAGGGACAATAAATATAACATGTAAAAAAAAATACAAAAATAAGGACACAAGCACTTCTCCTTTAACAGAAAGGGTAACCAATGTAAATCAATTTAATTTCCTTCTAACAATCCCAAACTTAACTAGGAAAAAACTAGTCTTTGGAAGATGGATAAAAAGCCAAAGCTTAGGCAGAGTCACAAAAATTACTTCTATAATAGATTGGGGGGGGGGGAGCATCCCCAAACCATCCATTGTGTTTCTGTGATAAGTCATTTTTCAGAAAGTATAAATTTTTCTTTTCCAGTACTGGGCTACACTCCCAGTCATTTTTAAAGCTTAAGACAGGATCTTTCTAAGTTGCCAAGGCTGGGTTCAAACTTGCAATCCTGCCTCAGTCTGAGTAGCTAGGATTACAGGCATTTGCCATCATGCCTGGGTCATAATCATACATTTTAACTGAACCATGGAAATGTGAGTAAAATTGCCTTACATCCTGATCATATTCCAGGAAAACATGAAAGTTTCGATCTTTACTGAGAACAGGATGAGAAGAAAGCCGCTGAAGAAATACTTCATGAGAGGACACAGTCTTCTTAAAGACAGCGAGATATTCACTGAAAAGACAAATGCATACACAATTCAGTTGGCATCACTCTACTACCTGATGGATACTRTCATGTGCTGCTGGTCAACGATCTATAATCTAATGATCTGCTCATTTTTACTACAACTAGGCCAAAACAACATACTGGTTTGATTTGGTAGTTAATCAGTTGGCATTTTAGAATCTAGAATGAACCAATAGAGGAGGAAAGTGGTGCTTTTCTGCCTTCTAAGACTCCCCAAGCCTACATGTAATTACTTGAAATTTAGCAAGTACGTTGACATTTGTTGCTTTAAAAAGGATGAAACCCCTTTAGGCAGTCATGTACACAGCACAAATCCTTAATAAGGATTGGGATCAGCAGAAATTACAAAGCAGTGTTACCTCAATTAAGGCATTCAAGATGTTAGGGTTTGGAAACTTGTGTTGAGTGCTTTATCCCCAGGGCTGGACTCACAGGCACTCCAAAGTGCACAGAGTTATTCAGGTGTGAGCCCTGCCCTACACAATATGGGCTTGGGACAGAGTATTGAAGAGTTGTTGAAAGGAGCACCTSAATTCTAACTTGCCGATGATGATAAGAGGAAAGGGTGAATGCTTTTGAGCCAAGATAAAGAAGTTCAGAGTAGAGGAACAAGAAATTAAAAAAATAATAATAATCATCTATAAGTAACCAATTTAACAAAGTGAAATACATAGTTGCACACACGTATAATTCCAGGGATTTGAGAAAATGAGATAAGATGATGGAAAGTTTGAGGCTAGCCTTGACATCTCAGTGAGACTCTGTCTCAATAAAAAGGGCCAGGTACATAGCTAAGTGCTAAAGCACTCAGGAGTTCAATCCCTAATACAAGGTGGGGGTGAGGAGAKCACAATACCTTTTCTCTAACCTTCCAGTACTTAAATGGTATGGTATGTGGTTTTAGAATTCATATTTGATTTGTTTTAAGGAAAGAAATAATAGTTGAAAAACATCTGCTATAAGTTTTTCAGTACTCAGTAATGCAAACCTACACCTATGATACAGAATAAAGAATACAGTTTTGCTTTAAAATTACAACCAGATTAAAATATGCTGCCTATGTACCTGGCCTCTTTCAAACCATCAATATGGTTATTTAGAATGCTTTGTAACAGCATTTGTTACAACCTAGTTTCTTCTAATACTTCTTTTTTTTTTT